AGAGAGAGAGAGAGAGAGAGAGAGAGAGAGAGAGAGAGAGAGAGAGAGAGAGAGAGGCAGGCCGCACTCCCCCCCCCCTTTCTCCTCTTGCTCCTCCTCCTCTTCTTTTTCTTCTTTTGGTATTTTGAGACAGGGTTCCTATATGTGTAGCTCTTGATGTTTTGGCAGTCCCTCTGCAGACCAGGTTACTTTGAACTCTGAGATCTACTTGCATCTTCCTCTCAAATACTAGATTTAATGTTGTATGTCACCATGCCTGACTTCTCTTTCTTCTTTAAAATAAGTTAGACCATATTTTCAAAACAAAATAAAACATATAGAAAACAAAAACAAACAAAAATAATAACCACCGATTCTTTTTTTTTTTAATTTTTTTTAAATGGGTAGAAACATTGTTTTATTGGGAGACATATGTAATTTACTTTCAGTTTTCAAGAACACCTAGCAAGCATCCAAGAAGAAAGCACACACAGTTTCAAAGGAACAAGGACAAATGAGCTGGTGGCCACGCCAGGGACACTGCCTCGAAAAGTAAGTAAGCTGGGTGTCATAAATAAGACTTTCTTACTTTATAAGAAGGAAGAATCAAGATCCTGTTTGATGTGTATTAAATACAAACTATAAAATACTCTCTGACCCAGGCGAGGGGGAGAAAATCCTCCATCCAACCCTCAAGTCTCATGCGATAAAATCCAGAGGTCTGTTGAATCCGCCTTTTCGATTCATGTACTGCCTGTATTTCTTCTTCTGAGACACGTTGATAGCATAGGCATTTACAGAGCCGTCTACCTTCTTCCCTTTTGTGGAGTCAAAAGAGGCAAATCCCATTAATTTCATCATTTCTATTTCTTCCTCCGTTTTACCCTCCAGATCTTCCTCAGTAATCTGACGTTCTTTGTTCTTTGTTTCTTTAGTTTCTTTCTTTTCCTCATCTCTTCTTTCAGTCGAGAAGGGGAGGGGGATGTGGATCGATGTCGTCTTGGAGACCTGGAGCGTCTTCGGTGTGGAGATCTTGAGCGGCTCCTTCTTCGATCTCTCTCTCTGGACCTGGACCTTTCTCGACGTCTTCTTTCTTGATCCCGAGATGTGGATCGGGACCGCCTACGTTCCCTACGCGGGGAGCGGCTACAACTGCGACCCATCGGAGTCCTCCTCCTTCTCCCTTTTTTATTTTTTTTATTGGATGTTTTATTTACATTTCATATGTTGTCCCCTTACCCCATCCCCCACCCACCCAGGAACCCCCTATCCCCTCACCCCTCCTCCTTCTTCTCTGTGGATGTAACCTCTATCTACCCCCCCACTCCCACCTCCCCACCCTCAAAATTCCCACCCCCTGGGGTGTCCAGCCTTCATGAGGTCAAGGTTCTCTTCTTCCACCTAAGCCCAGCAGGGCCCTCCACTCTTAACGTATTCAGCTGAAGCCCTGGATCCCTCCCTAAGTGTTCCCAGGCTGGTGATAACCACCGATTCTTAACTTTGGGAGTATTTGAATAACTTCGAGGCCAGACCCCAGAACACCTATGTGGATTCTCTCTGCTTTTATCTGGACACTGGAGCCAGTGTGACTTTGGCAGTCATGGATTGAATATGGGAAAACTTTTGTGAGCCAAGAATGACTGACTCCCAGAGCCTACTGTCTGGAATGAGAAAAACTGTCTGTGGAAGATCTGGGTGAGGCTACAGAGATTTAAAACGTTTGACCTTACCATGTCTTTGTGATATAGCCATTTGAAGCTTTCTTAATTTTAACTTTTTCCCTGCGGGGCGCCGCCTCGCCGAAAAGGAGAACGCCACGCTTCAGGATTCTTCTGGCAGCATTTTTATTACAGCTCTTTTAGTGTTACAGCTCTCTTAGATGGTAGTGAGGCGAGGGACCCCAAGCCCCAAAAGCTTGTGGCTTATATAGCGCTTTAGGAGATGTGCCGCACACTCATTGGCTCTTATGATGTCGCCAAATTAGCATACTGGTTTTCGCGCCTTGCGCAGGCACACATTCAAGCAAGGCTCGCAAGAAGAACCAGGAAGCAGGAAACCGGCGCGATGGCGGACGCGGCTCCTAACATTTCCCAAACATTATCCGCTCACTGGTCATAATGTAATAATGATTGCTCCAAGAAAGGAGCCCTCTTCTTGTGCAGCCTGCCCTGTGGAGATCCCTTTCTCCCCTAGGTTCTAAGGAGACTCAGACTCTTCCAATGCCCATTGCCCCTTCTATGCTGCTGTTCTCTTCCACAGCAGGCATTTTCTCCTTAGACACGTGCACCGCCACATTGCCTCCTTTACCACTGCTACGCACAGCTTTTCAGCCACTACCCCTGGGCGGTGCTGGCTGGCTCCCCCATTTGCTATCATATGGGCTCATGCCACTCCAGATACTGTTTTTCACGAGAGCAGGGTGCTCAGCACGACCATGTCATGGACTTGGTCAGCTGGGCTTCCTGAGGCCTCAGAGGCTTTCCCAATCCTCCTTCCCAGCCTTCTTTCCCATCTGAGGCCACACCTTTCACATTAGATGAAGCTGAAGTGCTTTGAGGTGTGTTCCCTCAATCCTTTTGACGCACGGTGTCCCTATGTTGTAACTTTTGGTGTCAGAGTCACTCTGATGCTGTCCTGTGACACCTGTCTCCATCTGTGTTCTTGATCGTACTCAAAGATCAATTTTGAACCAATTTATAAGTATAGTCAAGATTCTTTCCTTAAGGAACAGTAACAACAAAATTCCCAGAAAGAAAACTATGTATTCATTTCCTCATTCCCCTTTCATTTCCTCATTATTCTGTGTCCTTCCTTAATGACATGCTCGGAAACTTCCCATCACTCCTAGTGTCCCTCCTCACCTTCTCTTCTCTGCCTCTTTAGCAGGTCTTTGGTCTTCCATCCGACTTTAAGCTTTCAAGTGGGCCCAGGGCCACCTTTGGCCCTCTCTGTTCTCCCATCTGTTCCCTTCGGCACCACTCCTTCTGTGTCCTTTGACTTTTCAATGGACATCAGCCACTTCCAGGGGGATCTCCCCACTCCATGTTCCAGTACCCAGGCTCTTGATGGTACTTCCTACAGGGTGGGAGTTCCCTGAGCACTTCACACACAATGTGGAATACCTTGAGTGCGCTCTTGACCTCTGTTTCATACCTATCTTCTCCTTCCCAGGAATGCCACTTGGGACCCGCAAGCCAGACAGCACCCTTCACAGACGCAGTCTGTAAACTGGTCTAAGTAAGTCCTGAACTTCTTTTATTCCCCAATGCTCTCATGACAGCGAGTCTGACCTGTGCAGCCCCTACTGTCTCCCAGTTCAGAGACCCTCAGGGGTCTCCTATCTAATGCTCGGTCCTTGATCGTCTTGATTCTTTCCTGCCCCCAGTGTCATCTTGATAAAAACCCCAGAACTTTATGCTACCTACACCCTCCCTAGACCTTTTAAGGCTTCTGTTTCCTACAAGGCAAAGTTCAGGCTCAGGGTGAGGCTGGGAGCTTGGGGTGAGGATTCTGAAGCATTCAGTGCCTGCACCTGCCCTGCTGTGACCTCTTTCCTCAGTCTCTTGCCATTCAGTGTTTTGGGGTTTTTGAACCCTCCCCCTGGTCTTTCACTCTACTGTGCCTCTGCTCTTACTATCTCTGTGCTTAGAAGAGCTTTACCTCCTGTCCTATCCACTGGTGCCACATAGTGTCTTCCTTGCAGTGCTGGTGACAGAATCCTGGTCTTGTACACGCTAGGCAAGTGCCCTACTGCTGGGCTATGTTCTCAGCCCACCAACTCTGTCTGTCTGTCTGTCTGTTCATCTTTCTGTGCACACATGAGTCAGTGTGTAGGCCCAGGTGTGTATGTATGGAGGCTAGGGATCAACACTAGGGTCTTCTATCACTACCTTGGTTTTGAGGCAGTGTCTCTGACTAGATCTAGAGTTTTCTATTTAGGTTAGACTGGCCCCAGCAAGTCCCAGGACATGGCTGTCTTCACCCCCATCACAGCTGGGGTTAAGATATTTGTTACCACTCTCATCTCTTCTCCTCCCCCCCCCAACCCCCATGGGTTCTGGGGATCTAAACTCAGGTCTTCACACAAGCACTTTACCTACCGAGTTTTACCCCATTCTCTGTTGCTTTAAGACAAAGCTTCACTATATAGCATAAGAAGGCTGGCAACTCAGGATCCTCCTGTTTCACTCTCCCTAATTCTGGGATTACAGCCATGTCACCACACTACTTAGTTTTTGAGTTTAATTCAGTTTAGGCAAAGCTTCCTTCTGATTATCTCTGGTTCATGGAGTTAAATGACCTGGCTCCTTTTTTTCCAGCATACACTGCTCTGCTGACAGGAACCAATGACGGATGGGAAGATATTGATATGGTGCTCTGTGCTCCTTCAGTGTGTGTCTCTAGGCCAGTAACCCTGATTTGCATTGCAGCGTGCCAGGTGCCTGGTTCTGTGCCTGACACTTGGCAGGAGCTCTGTAAGTCTCCTCTGTTGGTGCTGATGGGAGGAAGACATTGGAAGATTTAAAATGAACTAAAAAAGGTTTAAAACATTAATTTATTTTATGTATATGGGTGTTTGATTTGCATGAAAGGCACTGCATGCATGCCCAGTACTCCATGGGTGCCAGGAGAGGACATTGGATTCCCTGGGACAGGAGTTACAGAGGGTTGTGAACCACCATGTTGGTACTGGATCAAGCAGCAGCCAGTGTTCTTAACTGCTGAGCTATCGCTGGCCTATGGACGATTTTGATTCCAACTACAAAAGGTTCTTGGACTGACTATGGGGTGGTGAAAATGCCTTCTTCTCTCTTGTTTGCCACCTGATTCCTGAGGACCCTTGCCTGTTATGTGACCGCTGAGTCATCAAGGTCAAGGCACAGTCATTGCTCCCTGGACTGCTCTTCTTCCAGCTGCAGCTGAAGGAAAACACCTGCAAGAAAGGAGCGAACTAAGCGCCGGAACCACAAGAACAGGAGTTCGCCCCAGATTAGCCATCACTTGAGACTGTCCTGCAGTCTTGGTGTAGGTTGGGTAATCCTCACCTAGGAAAACATTCTAGTTTTGTTTTCTTTTTCTTGTCTTTTCCATGTCTCTAGCAAGTACACATTCCCACTCCTAAAAGCACTAGACTCCAGCTTAGGACTTGATCTTTAGCCCTCTTCTTCCCTCCCCTTTGTTGTGGGTTGGGTAGTGGCAGGCAGGCCCAGGCTGCAGGTTTCTTTACCGGACGACTTGGCATAGACTGTCTGCTTGTCTCTGCTCTGGGCTATGCAGGACATGTAGAGCTTCTGGTCTTCAATCTTTTCTACTTGAACGTCCAGAACAGCCAAAGAGCCCACGGGGATCAAGCTGGAAGAGGCGGGTGGGCGGGCGGGCAGGAGGTGGAGTTCATTTCCCCACCTGCTCCCACACTGGCTCCATTCTTTGCTTACCTCACCCTGCCTCCCAGACTCAGAAGCAACCCCAGGTTTGGGACTATGTGTTGGCTTCTGGTGTTGAATGTCAGAAATTGTATTCTGGCCTGGGTCTAGAGATATGCTTGCTGGGAAAGGAGGGAGACAGGCAGGATCTTCACACTCAAACTGCAAAGCTTACTAAACTCATGATAAAAACAGAATCCAGACATCAGTCATGGTGCGAGGACCCACACTTACTTTTTGAACTTGATGTTGAGACTTAGTGTGAATAGTCCTTCGCCAGCCAGATAGGCAGTTTTAGAATACGTCTCATCCATCAAGGCTGCCAGTGACCCTCCATGGGCAAACCTGGGGATCAGGATGGGTAATAAGACAAGGGTTAGGGCTACTGGACAGACCTTATGCTGGCCTTCCTCTCCATACTGTACCAAACCTCCCAAGCATTTTTCTTTCTGAGTGTTCCCCAAAGGTGGATCTTCCATTCCAGGCAGCCAAACAGGAACGGACACAGAGCTATGTCCTGTGGGCTTCACAAGGTCAAACATAGCTAACTTCCCTCCTTTTTTGCTTCAGCATGTGTTAATGGGTGATACAAGCATTTTATTTTATCAACAGAATTTTTTTTCCTTACAAAATTAATAGAGGCTATCTTTCTGATCTGTCACCTAGTTGCTGGCTGCAGCTGCCACATTTTAGGTGGCACACATCTGTTTGACGTCATCTTTTGTTATTTTGTTTGTGGGAAAGTTTGTGAGCCACCAAAGACTTGATAAGTCTTTGATACAAGAGCTTGGGCCAGCTCTCACCCACTCAGCCAATGTTGGACCCACAGCTTCAAGGGCCAGCAAGGTAGGTTCCTGAGAAGCACTGCCCAGAAAACCTAAGAGCCCACGTCAGTGTGATGCCACAGATTCTTGCTTTACTTCAAGTATATAAAACCTTCTTTATCATTTACGCAAACTGACTTTCATGACACACCTTTGTCACTGTTGATTAGGCAGGGAGGAAGTATTGGGGCATCCTAAGTTAATATGCAAATGACATAAAACAGACCTGGGGTTGGAAAGTAAATACAATTTGTCATAGACCCAGGCCAGCTGCTCTTGCTGTTCTGCCAAGGCTGCAGTGGGATCCCAGGCCCCTCCCCTCCTGCTTAGGTGACATCACACCACCTGGCTGGATTCCTAGTTCTTGAACAACTTACTGAACCACTCTGAGCCTTTGTATTCTCACCAGGTATTATAAATAAAAAGAATCACTATCTCATTGGTTAACTTCCCCAAATCTCGCCCGCATTTCTGGGCACTTGCCTCCATTACTGTGAAGAGAAAATGAGTTGATGCCAAAGAACCCAGACTATCTCTTGCCTCTTTTGTGTTCCCTGGCCAGACAAAGGATCTATTGGCAAAATGCTGATTCTGCAGAGCAGTTCTTAGCCAATGGGCAATTCCTTCCCATACCCATGCCTGGGACCCAGTGGATGTCAGTCTCTTCTCTGAACTCTTAGTCCGCTGACTGGCCTTATCTGTATCTGTTCTGTCTTTTTTTTCATTTTTTTTAAAATAGCGCCACATATCTCCGAGTGAAACTCATCAACTCGTGCAACTTCTCTCTACCCTGTCTTGGGGATTTTGTTTTTAGAAAGGAAAAGATCCTTGGCTTCTCAGGACTTTTCATTTTGGAACATTCTGAGGCTTCAATAGGGGGTTCTTCATCCATACACAGTGGAGCCTAGATAAGCTAACCCAGATGGTCCTCCCAGACCTGGCATTGAAAAGTTCCTTGTACCCCATTTTAGGTTTCTTAGAGACTCCAGGACCTGGTGGGTGCTGGACCCACCCTGCTGAGCCAAGCCTGGGAGGCATCCACCCTGGCTGTGTGAAGTCTTACCCTGGTGCCCCTTCCAGGTAGGGGCCTGGCTGGAAAAGACAGACTGATTTCTTCTCAGATGGGTGGAAAAAGATGACATATTCATAGCCTTGTCCTTCCAGTTGGATGGACCTGGTAAAGAGGCGCCAGTCCTGTTTGTCTAGGGAGAGATCGAAATTTGAAGCAGAGATACTTCAGGGCATGGGGACCTGTCAGGACATGTGAGTTTAGCAAGATCGAGGAGAGAGAACCAGAAGACATCTAGGCTTTGTTGTTAGGGACCCCTTCCACAGAGGAGGAGGGGACAAAACATGGTCCTTGTCTTCAGTGGGGATGTGTCTTGGGGGAACAAACTCTAATAAAGTCCCCAGCTAGAGATGAAGGCAAGATCAGGACTAGACAAGCATCCCACCAACTGAGCCATATCCTCTTCAGTCTGGAAATAACAATTTTTGGTTTTCAAGCTCTGGATGTCTTGGAACTCATTCCAGCCAGACTTCAGCTGGATGTGTTCCCCTTCAAAGGGAAATAAAGGGGCCAGGCAGGGAGACCAGTGCAGACATGATTCCCATACAAGGCTGGTTTGCAGGAGAGAGAGGTGTAGGTAGCATGGAAGAACTGGAGGGGGGCTCCTGCGTTTCCTTCCTGGATGTCTTAATTTTGTTTTTTTGTAATTCTTGGGGAATTTCATACATGTATTTTAATTATAGTCACCCTTTCCCTTTTGGAGAAAAATTCTTACTCTGTAGTCCTGGGTGGCTTTGTAGACTGTATTTATCTGCCTCTGCATTCTGAGTGCTGGAGTTTATGTGTCACCATGGCTAGCCTTCCTGAATGTCTTCAAACCAGAGGAAGGCAGCAGTCTGAACTGACTGAGGGTTTCAGGCAGGGCTCCTTCTTTGTGTGTGTGTGTGAAGGTGTGAGTGTGTATGTGGTGGGGGAGGGTGTGTGTGCTCCTGTGTGGAAGTGTGTGTGCGTGTGTGTAGAGATGTGTATGGGGGGGTACATGTGAGTGTGCTCCTGGACCTCTCAGACCTAGTCTTACCTGAGGCAGCTCCCAGCCCAAATGGGAGCTTAAGGCCCTGGATATGTTCTCTGTTGGACTTGAAAGAGGGTAGTTTAATCCAGCTGCCTGATTTGGTTTTCTCCAGAAATTCTTGGTACAGGCTCAGCATATCTGAACACCAGCTGGCATTGGGGAGAGCATAATCCTTTAAGTCTGTCTTCTCTGGGCAGAATCTTGCAACCTAGGCAAGAAAATTCAGTATGATGTGATGACATCTTGGAAGGTTGGGATGTTCTTGGGTAGAGGATGTCTGTTTCTGGGTTTGGGGTTTTCGGTCCTGTTTGCTGGGGTGCTAAGCTGAGAGAAAGACTCTGTCTTCCTTGTAGGGAGCTTGGGAACCTCTGTGGATAAGTGGGTTGTGAAAGACAAAGAAGTGGGGATGTCTGGGACGGAGATGGGGCTAGCCATTCCAGACAAGCTAGAACCGCTACTATTAGACCCATTGAACAAACGGGGAAACTATGATTTAGTTGTTACACTTGGGAGAGAGATGGTTGAGCTAGACGCTGTTTTCCTGAGGGATAAGCCCACGGTTGGTAAGAGATATTTATTAGCCCCTCACTACAGGGGCTAGTCAGCGTATGGGCCTGTCTAGCAGCTCCTTTGAAATGCTTTCAGGCACCAAGGAAGTGTGAAATCGGGGCCAGAGTGAGGGATAATGTGTTTATCTGCCAGATGTCATGTATTAGTCACTTCTGTGGATAATAAGCAAGCTGATTGCCAAACCCACAGACAGGAGCTTCTGTAAGGGGATACCCTACCTATCGGGTGCAGTGTAAACTCTATGAAATATTTTCAAATGGCCACACAGGATTTGGACCAGTATTTGTTCTAGTACTTTTAGTTCAGGATATGGCTTATGTAGTAACTACCTCAAAGCATTTCCCCTTTGCCAAACTAAACTGGTCCTTATCACCCCAGATATAAGGCAGGAAAAGAGGATCTAGAGTACTCAAGCCCTAGGCTCTTAGAGAGGAAGGGAGCTCATCTGACTTCTTGGGAA